CTCCAGTGTTAGACTGCACACTGGTGCAAAGAGTCATGAAAGTAGACTTGACACCCCGGTGTGCCGCAGCCTCTGTAAAGCTTTGTGAATATACACCAGCAGCCAAACAGGATATGTCATGATACATCACATGACCACAAACAAACCCACTGTTATTCAACACTACAGAGGAGGACAGGGCAGAAAAATGGAGGTGAAAAGAAGAGGAATAAGCATGCAAGGTGACCATGACTCATCCGGAGTGAAACAACATGCATGTACAAAGAAGAGGACGGGAGGAGGGGAAGGGCGCAGGGTGTCGGCATGCGAGAGAAGTGGGTAGGCGTGCAGAAGGGAATGGGGGGTGTCACCTTGGTCAGCAGGTGGGTAGGTTTTCCTGCTATGTTTCTCAGAATCAGAGAGGTTTCCCTGTCCAGATAGGAGTGCTTTAAAGAGAGAGAGAGAGAGAGAGAGAGAGAGAGAGACAGAGAGTCCCGATGAATTAATCTGCTGTTTGATTGGTTGGATGTGGCAGTTTAGCAGAAAGCTGTGCGGTGAAGCAGAGATCAGCAGCGGGAAAACATCAGCATCGTCGGTGAAGTAGTCAGAGACAGAAACCTGCGAAGAGCTGTACACATCATAAAAACAGGTTACAGTGATGATACAGGTACGCTGGGAAGAAGGAAATGTTAAGACACATTAACCAACGGTCAGATAAAGCTTAGAGTTTGTTTTCACCCAGACTAGATCAATACCATCAGGAAGGATCCTGTAACACACCAGTCTGTGATGTGCAACACACTCAAACTGATATTGTGCGATGCAGTGCTTTCATTTTATCCTTGTAGTTTTCTTCAACCTGCGCAGTCTACTGAATATGATTTAAAAATTCCTAAAGAAGAAAAGTTACGTTTTCTCCGCCCCCAAAAGTGGTTTCTCACCAGGAGCAGGTGGTGGTGATTGTCGCTTGATGACAGCTTCAGCCATTGTTGCGTTTACAAGACAAGAGGTTATAAAATACGTCCTCTGAGCAGCACTACGTCTTCAGGACAGACTGGAGGCTACAGTGAGTCACTGTCAGAAAGACCAGACAGGCCGGGGCTAGCTGGTTAGCATGCTAACTTCAGTAGAAGAAAAGACGTGATAGAGACGAAAGTTAACACTGTTGTTTCTCTCCACTGAAGTTTTAATGCTGAACTCACAACGTTTCTTTTAGACCGGTGAGTAAACAGCCGTTAATGCTAACGCTAGCAATGTAGCTATAGCTTTATTTACAGTCTATGGGTGAAGCTAGCTGTTAGCTGTTAATGAGTTTTATCGACGGTTTATCTGCCGGTCAAAGGTTGTGACAAACTGTATTGATATCGACTCACTCAGTCTCAGTTCTGCTGTGTAGCTGATAAAATCCACCCTGATAAAAACCATATTAGGTTTCCCAGTAACGTCTGGAGTCTCATTACGCTTCAGATAACAAACTACAGTGGACTACTGGAGTCCTGTTAACATTTCTTTGGGAGATAAAGGTTAAATAATTCAAGTAGAAACAAGTTTACAGTCACTACTGCTTCAGGCTTTACTGGAGGGAGAGTGGAGAGAGGAAAAAAAAAAAAAACAGGGCAGACACACAGACAGGATTTTAACTCCAGGCCAACGGGGTCCCAGACAGACTTTTATTAATTATTTATCTGCTCAATTATTCACCATATTACTCTTATTTACTGACATTGTGGACTCCACCAAGAGACACGATCTTAATCAGTGGCTCAGTGAGATTTATATAATCCCACATACATGAGAGTCACCAGTTCATCCTGTAGCAGGTTTCCCAGTCAGTCCAGTCTGGAGCCACAGCAGATTTGATCCTTTTTATAAGAGGATCCAGTCCCAGTTTGCTTTTCTGATCTGATTGTGATACGCCAGGATATTTCCCAAGATTTTTGTATTGGAATAAAAATATCCATCTCCTCAAATGATATAAATTAATTGTTTTAATTTAATGTTATCAGAGAGACACTTTGGAAATCTCGACAACAATAAAGAAATCTACACTTTATTTTGCGACACTCACACACCATCTGCTCTCATCTTTAATAAACTGTGCGTGTGCTTCAATCACTAGAAACCATTTTATAGAAAGCATTAGTTCTCTCATGATAACCACAGATTAAAAATATTATTTAGGTCATACACACGGACATGTACTAATGCAAACACACACACACGATTACAGTCAGCTTCTCCCTTTGGCCAAGATCTGACCAACCACATCCAAGTGTGTGTGTGTTGATGCCCTCTAGGTTACAGTAATCAAGAAGACAAGAGCCCCTATATGCTACTGTCCATAGGAAGACTAGTCATATGTATCTTTATCCGTGACACAGCGACCCTCTGATTAAAGAGCTTATATCTGAAAACCAACACTCCCTTCATCCTTAACTCCTCCTGGGACGTCCAGCTGAGCCCTACAACAATTCAGTGGAGATTTAGTGAGTCCTAAAACTTTGTTATTTTTTACTGCCCTTAATAGAGTGAGCGTGTAAAGGAGGGATTCAAAGTGCAGCAGTCCCAGTTTCTAATGAGCTGGACTCGTGGGAGCAGCACTCTCTCCTCTAATCCGTCTCTTTTTGTTTTTCTCTCTCCGTCTCTTCGTCTCTTACTTTTCTTTTTAGATGCGTCACTCTTCGCTTCTCTCTCTGAATTCGCCTTTTACTTTCCATCATTGTCTTCCCCTAATTCCTTTATCATCTTCAGCCATTTGCTGAATCACTCTGGCTTCTCATCTCATTATTCTAATTTTATTCTTTCCTTCACCCCCCCCCTCTCCAGTTCTCTCCATCTTCCTCTCCATTGCTGCTGCTCTCTCAGATTTGCTGTGTGCACTGGATGAACTGGAGCAGTAACCCAGTTTCCCGCTCACTGAACAGGTTTTGTCTTTGCAGTGCAGCTTTTTGGCTTGAGCAAGGCACTAACAACAACAAGGTTTGGGGTTAAATTCCCTCAGCAGCCACCAGGGTCAGAAACATTTGGGATTGAGGAACAAATGCTTAAAAAAAAACCTTGTGAAATGGAAAATTCATGGTAAAAAACCAACCGTTATAATCGTTCTGAGTTCTTTTTTGGCGTTATATTTGTTCACATCTGACTACGTAGGTGATTCAGGGAAGATTATGACCGTGGCTTTTCTTTCTCAGTCTAATCTTGGACAGAAAAACTGAGCAGGGTTGGCGATAAAAGAAGCGAGGACGCAGCCCGAAGCAGCAGGAGCGGTCAGCACCACACAGCCAGCAGTGGGAGAAAATACCAGCCAACACAAAACACTGCTGCAGCGAAACCTAGAACAACCTACACTGTAAAACAAACAAACAAAAAAAAAAAAAACTCAGGAGCGAGGAAAGGTGGACTGTTGGGAAACAACACAAGTGTTAGTAAAGTCGAGGAAAAACAGACTTGAAGCCAAAAGAAAAGACGATATCTCTCTTTAGAAATGCAATCGTCTGATTAAACAGGAGATATTTTACAATACTGGAGTTGTGAATCTGTAAATTATGTTTTCCCCTCATTCCTGCTGAACGACCTGCTTTTATTTCATGTGTTGATATCAACTGAAATGCAGATTGGTTTGAAAATGACAGCACTGCATCACTTGGATTGTGATGGATTTCTGCAAAAACAAAAACATCCATCCATCTAAAAACTGTTCAAAACAGAACAACAAGACATGTACAGTAATGTAAAGCACGTGGTCTTTTACATTCCTCCCATTAGAGTCTCAAACGTTAATGTAGGCTGATAAATTTCCCTGTATTTGAAATGCTATTATCGTCTGACGCACATTATCTCTCCCTAATCTGCTTGAAACGATCGCAGACTCAGCGTAATCCCAGCCGGTGGACAGACAGGTGTTAGAGAGGTGGATCCAGTCAAAACACCATCCTGCTGCTAAAAGCCTGGAAATGTAATTAGCAGTGACGTATCTTGTTGTGATGGAGGCCTCGGTTCATTTCCGTGTAACGGAGACGCGGTGTTGAAGCATCTGCCGAGGTAACGACTTAATGTTGATGTATCTGAATGAGGCATCCACCATTAGTGCGTTTGCTAATTGCAGCAGCATGATAGTGAGCTGCAGCTAACAGCGTTAGTTCTGGTTTCTTTGAAACCCCTGTGTGTTTGAGTCGATGCTACACTCCAGTTCCCAGTTTATTAGGAACACCTAGCTAAAGCTAATCCAACTGTCCTGCAGTAAATCCTCCCTGTACGAAGGCTTCAATGTTCAGCTTTTATTGACACTGTTTCCTCGAGGTGTTGTGATCATTTTGCAGGATGTGGCGTGTGTCGCTGTTGAATTGTATTGTATCATACAGAGAGATGTTTCTGTTATTTAGTCTACCCTCAATGATAGAAACAGGGCCGGACAAACACTTCTCAATATAATACAATACAGTTCAACAGCACCACAGACTGCAGCCTCCAAAATGGCCGTAAAGTTGAATCAATAGTTCAGTGAATCAGTTTCAACACAAACCGAACATTATAACCTTCATGCAGGAGGATTTACTGCAGGACTGTTTCATTAGGCCGCATTAGTTATAGCTGGGTGTTGCTAATAAAGTCAAAGTAGAGGACACATACAGAGAGTGAGGAAACGTGTGTGTGTTCACGGGTTTCCTCAGATACAGAAACAGATTTGTGTCTGATTCTGATTGTTGTAGATGTTTTCTTCAGTTGACGTTCACTCTGGTGCCGGTCTTACAAAGAGCTCTGGATGTGGATGATGATGAATTTGTTGCATCTTCACCTTGGAGATCAATTAATAAACAGTAAAGTTCCTCAAATCTACTGCAACTCTGAACTATGTCTTTAACCGAATCACACACATTTAGGCTAATTTACCTGATCACCTGTAATATTTTTTCTCTACCATTCACTGAGCCTCCCCTGAAACGGTCTGGAGCCCCTCCCCGAAGAGGTGCGCCTCAAGGTGAAACATACGAATCCTTCACTCATTCTTCCTGTTCACGTACCTCTGTGATGTGATGACCTTGACTGGCGCCCTCAGCTTGACCTGTGGACTGCTGACCGTCCGACTCATTGGAGCGGAGGACGCTGTCCAACGAATCCATGGAGGAAGCAGAGTTAACAGAAACCCCGGACGCCGAGGTGACGGAGGAGCGCGAGGAGTGGACGATTGAACGCACCTGAAAGAGAGAGAGAGAGAGAGAGAGAGAGAGAGAGAGAGGAGACGTTGCATGTCAGAAAACAGAGCAGGGCTAAAAGTCAGGTGGAGACTTTACAGCTCCAAATACTAGAGCTCCCAATTCAATGATGTACAGTTGATAAGTTAAAACCTCCGTTTACCTCGTGGTCGCTGACCGTGCCAACCGATCCCGTGCGTCGATGCTGGCGCTGGGATGATGCGGGCCGCCGCATCGTGGCTGATGTATAGGTGGAGGCGGAGCTGAGGGAGTGGGAGGAGGTCTGACGAGCAGCTTCGTCCATGCTGAGAGACGCCTGAAGAAGAAGAAGAACAAGAGGGAAGAAATGACATAAGATGGGGCGGGATCAAACTTTATTTTTTACTCTTTACCACGTACGTTGACCGCAGTATGAATATGCATCAAATAATAAATCTCTGAGGGAAATGTAAGACTCTAGTTTGAGGGCAGTTTGCAGGTCAGTCCATTTAAATAGTGTAAAGTACCTGAATGTTAGTGCGAATATGAGGGACACCGAGGGTAAATTTCCACGTGGTGGTGAATCACAGTGAACCCTGAAAGAGTCGGTGTATGTACGTGTTTCACTGCGCATCGTTTTCTCCACTAAAGTACTGGTTTCCAACCTTTTACAACTGGAAAAAAATACAGTATCTAAAAAGGTTCAGTTTGGAGGAAATCTACTGCTCAACCACAGAAACAAGTTTCCGTCTTTGCCTCCAGTTCACTCTGACCTATTTCTGTTGGTTTGCTGCATCGAGAAAACCCACCGTGTCTGCGTTCCTTTCATTCTTGAATTTCCCCAGACTTCTGTGACCCTGATGAGGCAACTGTTTGGGTAAACAGTTTTATTCAAAGTTTAGAATTCGACTTCTTGTTGTGAAACACCCATCGGGCCAATCCCCGCAGTTTTACAGACATCGTGGCTCTATTTTTGGTTTATGTTATAATAAATGTGTTTTTGGTGAATATGAGTTGATTGAATGAACAAATTTCTTGATATTTACTCTTTGTAATGATACAGTGCATGAGAATAAACACACCTTCTCCAGCTGGGCGGTGATGTCGTCCAGACTGAAGTTAGAAGCCAGCGCCGGTCTCCCATGATGCCCGGTGGGAGCTCTGATCGTGCCGGCCGGCGACGCCCTGGTGCTGCTGCTGCTGCTGCTCGCCCCGCTGCTGCCGCCCCCACCGCTAACACTGCTACTGCTGCCACCACCTCCGGCGCTGCTGCTCCCTGCTGGCTGCTGCCTGCCACTGCGCCCTGCTGGAGGCTTCTGACGGACCTGCAGACGAAGAGACTCAGTATTCAAACCTTAAAATGACTAGATTTTAATAAACACGACAACCACAGGTATGTGGGCGTGTGTGTACCTTGGTGTCGGTCAGCCCCAGGCGAGCCATGCTGCCGGCGCTGTTGGGTTTTGTGTTGATGGTGCTGAGTTCCTGTTCGATGGAGCAGAGATCAGCCATGAGAGCGTCCAGATCCACGTTCTCGCCCTGATTCAACGCCTCTGCAGACAGACGGATGTCAGGATATGAGACAAACTGATCAAATCACAATGGAATTAAAGAGTGTGTGTTGTGGATATATATATGTGTGTGTGTGTCTGACCATTGATGTTGTAGATGGAGAATCTGTAGGTTAAGTTGGCCATGTTGGTCTCCTGTCTGAGGGGAGCTTTCTGCTGAGGAGGCCGCTCCGGGCGGCCGTCATCCAGACTCTGGACGGACGGAGAGAAAAAGAAAAAGAAGGTATCAGTTTGTGTGTGAATATATGAATGAAAAGCATTTTTTTTACTCTTTACTACAGTTTAGCTCAGTCTGACAAGCTGAGTCTCATACTGTACCTTTAAATTTAGGTAACAAAGTAAGGTGTACCACTAACTAAAACTTCCATTGCCAATCAATCTGTTTATTCATTTTACAATCAAGCAAACAGTTAGTTTATTAAATGGTGAAAAATGGCACAAAAAAAAAAGTCAGTCACATTCTAAAGTCTAAAACCTAATTACATCAAATTGGCAAATATCTGAAACAGACAAAACTAGCTGTAACCACATAATGTTCAGCACTTTTGCTAATCATTTCAGAACTAAACAATATGTCCACTCATGGTGCAAACCTTAAAGCTCCATATTTTCTTCTTCTGTGTTTTATTTGAAGTGTTAATTCCTATTTGAAGTCCTGACGGCTGGTTTTAAGGCTCAGTTTCTGAATACAGGCTGTGTGCATTTCTCTGTGGACTGAGGCTTTGATACTTTCACAGTATTAATATAGAAGCTAGAGCTGATATATAATCACACTACACATGGACACAGACCTTTACACTGGAGGAGCTCTAAAAATTTTAACCATACTAATGATAAAAAGCTAAAATAAGTTTTCATAACAATATATAACAATATATAACTATATGTAGGATCTATTTCTGTTTTTGTGCATTAGCTTGGGACATCCGTGTGTGTGTGTGTGTGTGTGTGTGTGTCTGTGTACCTGTGTGAGTTTGTCCAGCTCTCCCAGCCATGCTCCAAACATCTTATCCAGGTCCTGGTCCTCCTTATCGCTGTCCTCCTCTTCCTCCTCCTCTTCCTCCCTGACCTCCACCTCCTCGTCTGACACATGGTCCATCTGAGGAGAAGAGGAAGCAAGAAAAGGGAAGAAGAGAAAAGAGGAGAAGAAAAAGAAAGAGAAGGAGAAGGAGACATTGGTTAATTCTCCTGCAGCTGCAAGACAGAGTTTGATCTCTTAGCTCCATCTAGTGGCCAACAGGCTGTACTACACGTCATATTACATTCTGATTTCGTGCATTTCTCTCTAAGTAAACAGCAGCGGAAGCATCAACTCTTAGATCACTATTATTGCAAGCAACCAAAATAAGCAGGTCAAGGGTCACAAACAAACTGTGGGACAAAATAATCCCAAAAACATTTGACCACAGGTTTTGGAAATCCACATAAAAAGGATTCTTGAACCCTTTCTAAAGCTTCTTGGCACTTAGATGAAGACAAATTTAAAAAGCTGTAATAAAAATAAAAAAAAAATCAAAGATGACAATTAAAAGCCTGTTTGTGACAGAACACAGCTGGTGAAAATATAAATGAACTGAATCAGAAAACAACTTGAGCAAATGAACATTTAAAGAGACAAAGTCCAGCTGTATTCAATAAAACAAACAGGATACAGATTCCTCAAAATATGCCATGCCCTCCTGTTAAAACATGCAACATGTCTTAATGAAGGCGTCTGAAGTGCTTTTTAGAAGCTTTTCAGAAGAGACAGGGACACGAATAAGAGCTGAGCAGAGACATTTTTGTCTCCCATGTCAAAGAAGTTTGGTCAAATGTTCTGTCAGTCTGTCCTGCCATGAAACGCTTTGTTCCACAGTAAAAACAAAAAAATTGAAAACTGCTCCTCAAATACCAGAGTTTAATGTTATCAATATTCATAATCCACTAGTTAATGCTTACAAATTATCTTCCGTGACACTGACCTTTCCTCTACTACTAGCATGTTACGCGCTAATCTTAAAGGTCCCATATTTTCTTCTTCTGTGTTTTATTCTGAGTGTTGAGCCATAAGAAGATATATTTGTGGTTTTAAGAACCAAAAACCATCTCAGTGTAGTTTTACATCTCCTCTCTCAGGCTTCTCTCTGGAGCTCTAGTAACAACAGGTCGGTGAGCCAATCAGAAGAGAGGAGGCTCTGAGACTCTCTTCTGAGTGATCCAATAAAAATATATCAGATTTCAGGTAAAAACACTCAGAGAAACCAAATCCTGCAAGGTTTGGATGGTGGGTCCAGGTGGGCGGGGCTTGGTGACTGCTTTGTTGTGACATCACAAAGTTCCAGAAGTCCTGACGGCTGGTTTTAAGGCTCAGTTTCTGAATACAGGCTGTGTGCATTTCTCTGTGGACTGAGGCTTTGATACTTTCACAGTATTAATATAGAAGCTAGACCTGATCTATAATCACACTACACATGGACACAGACCTTTAGACTATGAGACCTTTAACAACAAATACCAAAATCAAAATATGACATTTTTACAGCAACTTATTGCCCCCAGGTGATAAACTTCTATGTCCACTACGGCCATTAACACTGCAGCCACTAGACTGTCTTCTTCTTTGACCTTTTGTCTTGTCTCCTTCTGCATTAAAGACATGTCAGCTTTGTACTGAACAAAAATAATCTTGAACATATTTACAATAAAACATGACAGTCCTGATGTTAACAGGGTTAAGAAGAAATGAATTTGACATCTCAACCCTTCTCTCTTCCTGTTTACAGGAAGACAAAGTGGTCTGTTCCACAGTCTAAAAATAATAATAATAATAATAATCATAAACTTGATTTATAACAAACAAATACATGAAGAATGCCAGGGAGAAATCAGGGGAGAGGTTATGAGAGATTAAGGCAGCGTGTGTGGGTATTAACCACCCTGAGAACACGTCAACACACTTTTGGAGGGAGTGTTATTGTGATTAATGACGCAAATAACTATTCTGCGGAAACACACACACACACACACACACACACACACACACACACACACACACACACACACACACACACACACACACACACACACACACACACACGAAGACACAGAGCAGCTGCTGGATTCTTCTCTGTGTTGACAACCAGTCTTGTTAACGTTTTTCACCCTATACATGATGAAATATGATTTCAAGTGATTTATTTACTTGATAAAACTAAATGATCTATTGTGTATTAAAGCGAGACCATGTAACTTTTAAGAAAGGACAGGTAAATTCTTCCTCGTAAAAACAAAAGTTAGATTTCCGAGATATAAAAATAATGTACCAAACCCACTTGCTCTTCCTACTCTTTCTGAAATGGCCAGATGTTCCAGCTGAGAGATTGCAGCTGTGTCTTCTTTCAGGACCACGTCCGTCAAAGGTTGCATTTGAAGACAGATTACATCACAGCAGTGCGACAAGACTGTCCTACTGGGAGGGCTCCATCAAACGCTGCCGAAAAAATGCATCCCTCTTTTCCCAGGCAGCCCAATCTATCCCAAGATTCACTGCACACACCGGTCATGACCTTTGGGTTAACGACCGAAGGAATGAAATCACAAATACAAGCGACCGAAATGAGTTTCCTCCATAAGCTGGTTGAGTTAACCCTTTGAGACGGGGGACAGCTGCTGCGGAGCCAGTTGAGGTGGTTCGAGCACCTGATCAGGATTCCTCCTGGATGCTTCCCATTGGAGGTTTTCCAGGTATGTCCACCTGGGAGGAGGAGACCCAGAGGAGACCCAGAATACATTTTTGATATAATAGATCTCAGCTGGCCTGCGAACGCTTCAGGAGCCGGAGAATGTTCCTGAACTGGTGTCTAGTCTACCTCGCTTTACCTGCTGACACCTCCACCCACCTGCTCCATGGATCCTCCTGGCTCCTTCTCAACTCCCTCTCATCCTCTCTAGTTCCTCATCTTCTATTCTACCTTCCCTCTCCTGTCCTCCACATCTCCACCCAGGCGACCCCAGAGTATCGCCCAGGGCACGGTTTGTTATTCCTGGGTAGCCGCTATGTTGTCGCCCCCCGTGTCCCTCTCTGGGCAGAGACAGTTAGCCAACACACACACACACACACACACACACACACAAGATTAGAGAGCAGAAAGTCACACACCCAAATACAAACACTTTGAAAAACACACCACACACACACACACACACACACACACACACACACACACACACACACACACACACACTGAGGAGCGGTGCTACAATTAGATCCCTGTGGTTAAGAAGGTCTGTCATTTAGACTGGAGGATAGGGCAAGTGTGTGTGTGTGTGTGTGTGTGTGTGTGTGGTTTGGGGACCGCTGAGGGACTAGAGGAGCGTTGTGAAAACTCTCACAGCTGCGCTCTCGTACAACAATCTGCTGTTTCCACGCGGCGAAGGTTAGACGCCGGCCAACAAATGAACCGTTTTTCTTCGCAGGCCCAGGCTCCTACAGCAATTTAAATGAGAAGAAGATTCACTTCCTGTTGTAACTGAACTGAGCTCAGTCCTTGGACGAGGCTTCATCTCAGAGAACACATGGGTGCTTCACCCTTAAAAAACTAGACCGTGCATATCTGCCTCCGACCACAGAAACTGATCAAATCTTTTTTTCACTTTTCAGGAAAGGAAACTGTCATGTTGAACATTTTCCAAAACATATGACAAACATATAAGTTCATATAATATTAATGGCTCCATATGATGCAGTGGAAAGCAGGGACTTGATGTCAGGCTGGTGTCTGACATCAAGTCTAACTCCCATGAAATCAAACCCAGAGAGAAAAACCAAATAAGGATGAAGCAAAAAAAAAAAAGGATCACATGAATTTCATCATCTCCATTATACTGGTGCTGCAGATTGTCAGAGTGCCATTGAACGCAGCACCAGAAAGAGTCTTCTCTGTCAAACAGAGCGCTGAGACAGCAGGTCATAGTGACGGGCTGTTAGTGCTGTGCGTGTGTGTATCCAAAGTAAACAGTAATTACTTTGCTGCTGCAGCCACACTCCTCCTGTCTGTCAGACTGAAACCATGCAATCATACTCCCATCCTTCATTCCTCCCGCTTCTCCCTTAATGCCCCCCCCTCGTCTATTACTGTTTTTTCCACCTCTTTCTCTCGGCTGCCCTTCCTCCTTTCCTTCATTTAATTCCTCCATTCCTTGCTCCCTTCACTCCTACTCCCTCCTCTCCTTCACTTCATCGCTCCTCTATTTTAATCAACAGGAGTGAGTCAATAAAAAAAAACAGAATTTATTACTGCACTTTCTTGATTTCCTGCAGCAGCGACGGAGCCTTCACAGACACGCTTCCACAGTCATGTAGAAATGAAATGACGCAACCACCTGTTAAACACAGAGAGGTTTCACAGACAGGAAGTAGCCTAAACCTCCAAACCCTGACCTCTGACCCCTCACAAGGAGTTAAATATGGAGGTTAAGGCAGCTGCTGTTTGGCAGAGAGGCGTCAGGACTGAATGATCCATGTACAGAGAAACACCCAGGGTCCCTGTGTCAACCTGGGACATAAAACTCTAAGAGAAGAGGAGACAAGTGGAGAGGAGAGGAGGAGAGGATAATAGAAAGGAGGAGACCAAAAAGTGGACAAGGGGAAATATGTGGAAAGGAGACAACCAGCAGAGAGAAGACAAACGAAGAGCAAACAAGCCGAGAGGGGAGGAGACAAGAGGGGCAGTTAACGAAGACAAGAAGAGAGGAAACAAGGCCAGAGGAAAAGAGACAAAAAAAGGTTCCAAGAGGAGGCGTGAGGAAAGGAGAGAGAGGAGAGAAGAGAAGGAGAGAGTAAACACGTTGAGAGGAAAGGAGACGAGAGAAGAGGTGACACAGAGGAAAGGAGACGAAATGGGATTAAAGAAAATAAGAGAGGAAAGAAAACAACAGGAGAGGAGTTCAGAAAAACAGATTTAAAAGAAAGCTGCACTGTTCTCAGCTCTTCCTCCTCCCTCTCGACTCCATCAACATCTGTTGCTTCAGTGCCCTTGAGCAACACACTGCATCTGTACTGGGCAGCTCCCAGTTTCCCACAGCGCAACATGGAGCCTGAACTGGTCTGCTGCTGCAACGTCAACAACAACACAAAACGCTTTAAAGTCCCTCCGAGTGCGTTCAGCGCGGCCTGTTCCCACGGCTCTATATCAGGACATACACACACACACACACACACACACACACACACACACACACACACACACACACACACACACACACACACACACACACACACACACAGTATTTTTAGGCCTGTTGGGTTTTTGTAAAGCGCAGCTATAAATCAGACCCACAGAAAAAAGAAGCAGAGTGAATCCAGACTGTAAATCGAGATGTTTCACTCACACACACACACACACACACACACACACACACACACACACACACACACTAAAGGACTGACCATACAAAGACTTTGCCAAACTAAAATGAGAAATAAAATATTTGCCTCTAATTGCTCCGTTCACCATCACCGTATTGTTTGTCTGAACAATAGCATCAAAAGCTCAGTTGTGTCTCATAACCAGACCTAAATGTGTGTTTTGTTATTTTGTTTCCTCTATTTTTATAAACCTATTTTTTTGTGGGTCTCTTTTTGCATCAGTTCTCTTGCCAAACCTTCCCTCGCTCACAATGAATTAAATTACAGCCGACATCAGAGAGCAAACAAAGTCAATGGAATTAACGATTTTACTACGACGTGTTTTATCTCACAGCCTCCAAGTTCTAATGTCATCTTTCACGCTCAACTAGATGCTGCAAATAAACCACACACAGTGCCAGTTTGTGTGTCGGTGTCTCGCCAAAGAGGATTCACGCTGTGACATCAATTAGCTAGTGTGTGTGTGTGTGTGTGTGTGTGTGTGTGTGTGTGAGGCCTGAACTGCTGCCAAGTCAGACAGCGATTCTGCAGTGAAACTCTTTTATTCCCGCTGGTCTCCCTTTCGTACAGGAGAGGTGCATGATGGGAGTCTCTCTGCTCGGTTCACGTCCAGCTCTAGAAAAACACAGAGTGGACTTTCAGGATGTTCCGGGTCCGAACTGATGCAACACAAGAAACTCTTTAAAATCACAGGAAGGAACCGACGACCGTCAGAAGGTAAGCGTGTTACACCGCTGACCCAAATCCTCGTGACCCAAAACAAAGAGACAACGAGTAGCGCTGTGATGATAATGGCATCACCGCAATGCTGCGGTCATGTGATGCCGACCGCCGGGCTGAGCTGATTACCGTCACCACCGCAATTTTTGTCTCCCCTCTCATCCAAAGAACATGGGGTTGAGCCGATTATGTCGGCGATTAACCGACACCTGATGGAAACTGAATGCAGCTGATTGTACACAAACTGCTGATTATGAGCCGAAATACATTCATACATTCATTCATTCATTTATTCATTCATTAGCCATAAGGCTTATCTTATTCTTTATTCATGTGACTGTCGTTTTCCTGTTTCCATTGATGTAAACATTGTCCCTAGAATTAGGTGAAATAAATAATTTCACAGACACAGACCGTCACATACAAGAGTCAGATGTGACCGTGGTTCAGTTCATGCTAATGCATGTCATCCAGAGAGGCGGTCATGTGTCTGACGTACATGTGTGCAGCTGCTCACATACAATCCTCCAGCAGTAGAGGCGTGCAGAGACCCAGCAGGGGAGGGGGTGGGGGGGGTGGGGGGGCGTGCATCAGGATTACACTTGTTTCTGCAGATTTCTCTCTGTGATTGCTGCACAGCTATGTTCACTGACAGGTGCACAATTTTCAAGATAAGAATAAACAAAGCAACAAAAAAGAATTTGACTGTGAACCTGACTTTTACTTGCCCTTTTACAGATGCTGAATTTGTGAATCAGATAAGTTTCCAAGTTTTCAAGTTTTAAAACAACAGTTAGTGAATGTTAATGTAAAGTGAAACAACTTTTTCGGGTGAAATTCCCTCTTTTTTCCTCGGGACTGTGCTTCCTTCCTGAGCTGCAGCGGAGGGACAGCAACACAAAGAGGGAATTTCTCACTAAGAAACGCTGCAGCTTTGGAAAATGCTCTCTTGATTTGATTCACTCAGACTCCTGGAGCATTAGGAAACTTTCCTACTGGCCTGTACGAAGAGAAAAAAATCATTACAGCAAGAAAAAAAAAACCTCTTTCGTAGCACGTAAGGTCACCTGACTATCGTTTAAAGACGACTTCGAAAAACTGAACCCATTCTTGAACCCCAAAGGACGCATCTATAAATAATAATTCATCTAGACTAAAAGGTCAGTATTAATGTAAAATGTGCTGTTTTTATATTTTTTACTCAGACGCTGTCACTTATATTTGTCATATAAATACAATGTGAATTATTCTGAAGGTAATTAATGACTGAGTTTGTGTTTAGCTTGTATCGAGCAGGAAGAGGAATGGAGCGAGGCAGGGGAAGCAGAGGACGAGCGAGGAGCCGCCTGCTGATCCAGCAACAATGATATCACTTCCCCCGAGACCTGCAGGAGGGATTACATCATTTCCTCCCCCCTTCCTCGCCTCGTATCGACATCTGCCTCTGTCTCTCAATTCAAGGAAGGGAGATTAATACAGAGAACGAGTGGGAGGTGGAGGCAGAGTGTGTACTCTGTGGTGCTCTGCTCAGCTACATAATACTTCATATGACTGTTGTTCTGACTGAATGGTCGCGTTTCTACCTCTATTTTGTTCTTTTGTGCACAAGAGATCAAAGGTTGGGGCACTCACACGCACACACACGCACACACACACACACACACACACACACAGACACGTGCACACGTGTACTTTTATGAGAAAAGAGATGCACTCAGGAGTGTGTGTGCTAATGCATGTGATGTGGCCAAAATTATACCCCATTGTGTCCGAGTGTACTTGAGCCCCAAGGCTGGAGATCCCAGGGGTACTCAGCTGCCGCCATGTAAT